CCTCGACTCACTGGATGTGGCCCGGGTACCCCAGCATATGGAGGGACAGGAGGCCACAAACCAATGTGTCACCTGGTGGGCAGCAGGTGCTATTTCCTGCTTTGTGTCTCAGAATAATCTCAAGGTCTGCAGCCAGGAGAGCAGAGTTGAGGGGATGAATGATGCATTCCTTGCCAATTTCCCAGGACATATTTTTTCAAAGCCAGGTAAAATATCCCAGATTTATTTTCTCTTTTTTTCCTTTCTTTCCTTTTTTATTTTTTGAGGTACTACAGATTGAACTCCTATGTACTGGCAAGCATGCTACATGGCAAGCATGCTACCCGCCTTTAGAGTTCTTATTTTGAGCCAGGGCATTGCTGAGTTGCTAAGCTACCCAGGCTTGACTTCAAGTTGCAGTTTTCTTGCCTCAGCCTCCCACAGTGCTGGAAGTACAGGTATGTGCCACCATATCTGAAAGATCTCAACACTCGAATCTAACATTTGCAAAGACTTAGGACCTTTTCTCCAATACAGTTTCTCAATACCACCAGGAACATGCTATGGAAGAGCCCTAGGGAATATTGAAGAATTTGCTCTTCAAATTCAAGACAACAAAGCCCCTTTTAGCCTTTGCCCCACAGCACCAAGACCTTACCCAAGAACCTTTGACATTCATGTCTGGGGTTGTGGATTAGTGACAGTGAAGAAAGCAAAAGGCCGACATTAAAACCTAAACCATTGCAATGTTATGGTTAATCTGAGAATGGGTTGATACTGCTTTAAGAAACAATGTACACTTGAGGTTCTCTCACTTACATATCAGTATTGGGGTTTTGGGAGACCATCCCGATGATGCGTCCCCGGGATGTGCTAAACATAACAAGGAGGTCCTAGCAAGTGATTGGAGCAGAAAGAATCGCCTTTCTGTCTTCAGGGATTCAAGTTGCTTTTCCAGGGAAAGGAATGCCAAGTCTACTTTGGTGCCCGGTCTCCCATCCAGAACATTCTGCTTTGGAATCTGTCCTCAGCTGACTACATAATCACTGAACCCTGTCCAGATAGCCTTAGAGCTTTTGATAACAGTGCCAGGCTCTTCTTATTTGCTTGTCAAGAGGCAACTGCTCCAAATATGCTCTTTCTTTTGTACTAAAACCAAAAGCTCAGAAGAACAGAAAGAAATAGAGATATGAAACTTTTTGAAAGATTTGAAAATAAAATTTTTCGGCAGAATTGGTAAACAGCCTAATTTCCTACAGTGGATTAGGGGGAAAATTCCATATAGAGAATGAGTACTTATGAACTATAAAAAAAGAAACCCTTGCTCATTTTCCTGGTATAGCAATTTATTTCATAGATTCTTTAAATTTGAGTTGCTAAAGGACTCACTTAGCAATGTTACTTATGAACTTTAGGTGTGCCAGGGCTCAGCACACCTCACAAATGACCCGTCCTCATACTGCTCAGAGTGAGCCAGTAAACATCACAGTTAAGACCAGGAATTGAGGAGGAAGGCAGACCTGGCTCTTTCATTTACTCTGGATGTGACATTATTAATTATGTATTCCTCCATTTTCTCATCTCTAAAGTGAGGATAAAGGCAGTACCCACTTTGTAGAGTTACTGGGAATAAAGAAGGAAAATTATGAGATATTTGACATAATGTTTAAGATGCAGTAGGCCCCCAGTAAATGACAGCTGATCTCGTAAGTCCCTTGCAGAGGCCACTTTGTTGTGTCCACACACCCCAGCTTCTTATTAATTCCTTTCCCATCTTAAATGGAGAAAACAGTTCCTTTCCTTTTGACTTCCGAGGGTTGTTTTGAGCACAACAAGGGACAGATACATGTGGGAACATTGTGGGAAGCAAGAAAGCAAGGAGCACTGCCTGTCTCAAAGCTGGGGTTGCACACCGGAAAACAACAGGAAGCTGAAGCATCTTGAGATCTTGCTGGCAGCTGTGAGAGGCCTTTGCCGAATATTCCCAAGCACCCTGCCAGGAACTGTTCCTGAGCTCTCTGGGGCTTCACTTGTACAGGAGCATGCGTGGCTAGAGGAGATGCACTTCCTCCAAGCACCTGTGCTAAACAGAATGCTCCCAGCACACACAGTGGCTTCCTGGGAATCCCACTTCCTCTGCTGCACTTATAGTCCAGGGCTCTAGCAGCACAGAAACTAGGATTCCATTGTTTCATGGTGGTGGAAGGCCACAATCAAAATCATTTTTAAAAGTAGACTATTATTTTTGATATAGTAGGTAAAATTTATTGAGTTGCTTGTGTATACCAAAGTAGCAAACACCTTGATAATGTGTGTTCCCCTTTAATCCTCCTATTCAATACTATCTTTAGACCTAGGCAAACAGGGCTCCTCCCAACCCTGTACCTTCCCTTAAAAAAATGTCCAAATCCTTTGCCAGTACATAGGCCAGCTGGAACTGGCAGTGCTCTCAAGCGTAAGACATCCCAGACTCCTCCTCAGAGCTCTCTCCCATGCTGACATTCCTCTATGCCTCTCCCAGGCTCTGCAGGGGTTGGCTACATGCTCTATAGATCTATAAGTCATGGAATTTGGGGGGCCACAGAGATAGGTCTATTCCAGATAGAAGCCTGGCAAGCATGCTATCCTCAGGTTGTTGTATTTCTTTCCTATGATTGACCAAAGTTGAATTAGAGATACATTGAATTTAGGGTGATGTAGTTGTTCCTATAGACAAGGCCCCCAATGAAAATATCTGCCAAGAGCCCCACAGTGGAGGCAGACTTGCTCTCAGTAATGATATAAGATGCGTATTCTTCTGCAAACCTTATGGACAGAGGAAACTGACTTGGAGACACTAACTTCCCAAAGGGACACATTGAGTGAGCAGAAGAGCAGGCCACACAAATTCTGGAATGTTCAGACTCACAGCGAAACACTCAACTAATCACTCAGATTTCTTTATCTTCCTCACCTGAGCTACAGATATCCCCACAAGGCTCACCATCCCTTTATCCAGAGCTCTTTGATTCTATGTAGCCTCTTGTTCTCTTGTGATTGAACCTGCTGGCAAGCTATTGTCTCGAACACTGTCATTCAACTACAGTTTACCTGGCTTCTCCTTGACTTCCTGCTCTCTCCTGCCCACAGACCTTATCTTTTTCAAGAGGGCCACAGCTCATTCCAAAAGCATCTGATCTGAATCTCTTTTAGCAGAAGCATTCAGTGGAAGCACCAAAGTCATTCAGCCTAAATTGTTAGCTCCAACAGAAATGTATGTATTTTGTTGTAAACATCTATTTGTGGAATAAAACTCACTTTTTTTCGCCCAAAAATTGAGAACTCCACCAGATGTGCACCCAATATTTAAGGAAGCACTGTGAACTGCTGCTTCTGAACAAACTCTTTCTAGGCAGATTAGAGAGGGGCTGGGGTAGAAGCTTGTGTTTCTCTATTCTCATTCCTTGCTGCCCTGCAAGGGAAGAGCAGCAAAGTGGGGACTGCTGAAAGGTGAAAGAGCCAAGAAACTGTCACCATCAGCATCAGTCACAATTAACACCGCTGTGTGCCAGTCCCTCTGTGGCACAATGAGACATCATATCATGCTCGTTAGGATGGCTAGAATCAAAAAACCAGGTAATAACAAGTGTGGTGGAGATGTGGAAAAATTGGGATCGTTAATGCACTGTTGTTGAGACTGTAATATTGGGTGCCTGCTCTATTTAACAGTCTTGAAGTTCTTCAGAAGACTAAACATAGAGTTAATACAGCCATTCCACTCCTTGGTAATTTATACAAGACAACTAAAAACATATTATCACATAAAAACTTTTACATGAATGTGGTGATACTCATAGGAGCTGAGAGGTGGAAACATCCTAAATATCCACTTACCAATGAAGAGGTAAACAAAATGTGATATATCCAAATGATGCAATGTTATAAAGCCATAGTAAGGAATGAGGGACTGATACCTGCTACAGCTTGGATGAACCTTGAAAACATTATGGTAAATGCAAGAAGGCAGATACAAAAGACCATGTATTTTACAATTACATTCAGATGGAATGCCTCTAATAGGGAGATCTATAGACAGAAAATAGATCAGTAATTAAGGCTAGGGGGATGGAAAACATTTGGAGTGGGGAGCTAAAGGGCACTGGGTTCTTTTCGAGGTGATGAAAATATTCTAAAATTGATTGTGGTGATGGTCGCACATCAGCAAGCACACTAAAACCTACCAAACTGCACAGTTTAAGTGGGTAAATTAGAAAGCAAATGAATTGAATCTCTATAAAGCTGTCAAAAAATCAATTGCAGCAAAACGCCTTAAAACAGACTAACTGCCTTCTATCACTTAAACTTAGCCAAGCCCGCACTCCTCTCCAGCTACCCATGAATCTTGGGGTACGTAGTGTGCTTTCAGGCTCATTTAACTCTACACGTTTGTAGAGGCCTCACGTATAGCTTTCTGCCACTGTAGTAATTCAGGCACTGATTTGGACAGGGCACGAGCAAGTAGGTGGGTGTTGTTGACGCTTTCAAAATCTGAAAACAGCCATGTGCAATCAATCACTCTGTCCTCACACTGGGCTTTCTCTCCCTCTTTCCCACGCAAAAAGATGAGTAACATCTCAATGACCTCACTGAAAAGAGGCCTGGATAAGCCCTTTCACTTTTCTTTTAAAAGCTATCTCACAAGACCTTAGGCAGCAACGCTTTTTCATATGAAAGAAAGCCTGTACTGACCTTTCTTTCCCATCACACTTCCTATTACTGGTAATTATTTGTACCAACTTTGGAACGAGATATATGTGTTATTGAAATCATAAAAGTGTAGATAGAAATCCCAATGGAATGGAGTCCATAGCTGTACTTATGTTACGTTTTCCATTTCTCCCACCCTTACCCCCATTAATTATATATTAAGGATAGGGTTTCCTTTGAAGAACACGTTACAGAAGAATGGTCTCAGTAGTCTTTTACTACTTAAGTCAATCACAAAACAGAAAACCATGTCCAGGGTGAGCTCCTTTACTTACCCAGAGGGTCGCAGCTGTTAAACACATGCTCAGATGGGCCACAGACCTCGGGATAGAGATACAGCACGTGAGTGATGGTGGCACGCCTCTGCCTCTGAGCAGAGTAGGGGGTCCCAGTCACACTCACATCCTCAATAGTCAGTCTCCTTCGGTAGGAGCCCCTGCTGCTGGTTCTTTCAGATGAGGTGACTTTGCTTTTCTTAGAGCTGCACAATTTCCCCAGACATTTTAAACCAAGGAAGGAGGGCATCTTGACATTGACAGCAATGAAATAAGCAACGGACACCAGGAGCCTGGGATGCTGTGTTCCCTGACAGCCCTCTCTCAGCTCTCCTGGCTTCCTATCATCTCTTTTTCACACTGCCCAACAGAGAAGATTAAGAGGCCTATTTAAAAGATTACCCACAAGAGCTTAGAGCTCCATACTCTCAGTTAGATGATTAGGTATAAAAACAGCTCCTACCAGGAACTCACGGCTGTGTCAGTTTAAGACATGAATGTGCATTTGAAAATAAGATTAATACTGTATCTAGAGCAATACCTGAAAGGATTCTTCGGCAAATATTTCCAGAATATCCACTTTTATCACATAAGAGTACCAAAAATATCTTTAGCATATATACTCACACTATATATAATCTAGAAATATATATTAGAAAACAATTCAGGATAATAATTCCAAGTTCTCTACACTTCTGATCTTGCAGAGGGGAGACCTCAGTTAAAATTTATCAGCTTCAACTAGTGAGAAATTCAGCTCCAGGCCATAGTAAACAATCACTTCTTTTCCATGTTCTGAAGGGGGAACCCCTCCCCTAGTGCTATGAAAATCCCTCTGCCTCAGCATTAATCCCATGCTAATAATAGTCTTAAAGTTGTTTCATGGTTTTTCTGCTACTGCACAATATGTAGCTGAATCATAGCACAGGAGCAGAATTGCCAAGGAGTAAGCTCCATGTTTTCACAGTGATATGCTAATAGGATAGGACCCTCATGCAATGGAGGGTGGAGTTACAAAGGACAACCGTGGCAACAAGCATTTAGCTTTCCACATACACAGAATAATGTTAGGTGAGAGATGAGACCGTCTACAGCCACACAACAGTCACAAGTCAAAGTGGATAAACCTATGTTGCTGTCATTAGGCTATAAGGTTCTTTTCTTTTCATAATTTTCTTTTCATTAAAACCCTTGCATACTTGATACAGCATTTTCTAGCTAGAAAGGCCTTATAGAGAAACTAATACTTATTTCCTGAATATGTATGAGAATCATGTGCAGAACTTAGAAAAATTATAAAACTGGGGACACTAGCCCAGACTTCCAGATGAGGTTCTTTGTAAGTGAAATTCAGAAAATTCTTTTTCTAAAAGTCCTCAGATCAGGACCAGCATTATGTAAGCCCTCATCTCTTCTAGTCTTTAAGATGAGGAAGATAACCTTAAAGAAGCTGAGGCACTTTTTCAGGAAGACCCAGAAAGCTTAAGGGGGAACAGGTCCAAAGCTGTAACCGAGTAGCCAGACCCTTCCACAAAAACCATGGGGAGGAAAGAGAGAAATGAAATATTTGCCTCTTTTATAATAATAATAATATTTAATGCACAAATTGGCAACAGAATTCAAGAACCAGAGAATCCAAATTTGCTAGAATTGCTGTACAGTGAGGAGGACAGGGGACAGAGGACCAAATGGTGAGTGGCTTCCCACGCAGAGCAGCTGCCACTACTAAGTCACATCTCAAAATTCCTGTCTAAAACTTTAAAAATTAAGCTCTAATATCCCCCCATAAAATTCTTGCAAAGTTTTCCTCAAAAACAGTTTACAAGACAGGTAAAATAAGCTATAGGGATACCATACATTTTCTGACAAGTTTACAGATTCATAGATTTAGTTCAAAGCATAGCTGTTGGGTGAGGATGGATGTAGCGCAGTATTAAGAGACCTTGCTTGGCACATGGAAGGCCCTAGCACTGCAGGAAAAAGAAAAAGGAATTGTCTTCTGGGCAACTATGAAAAGAAAACAGTTAAACTCTTCTTCAGTAACAGGATTATATAAAAGAAGTCTGAAACATTTTAAGAATTTTAGGTTGGGATGGAAAGCACTCTAAATGTGGAACATAAAGAAGGCTGATAACAACAGATGTGTGCTCACCTTTAAAGAAAACCAAGTAAGCCACAGCAGCACACGCCTGTAATCCCAGCTACTTGGGAGGCCAAGGCTGATGGATCACAAATTCAAGAGGAATATGAACAATTTAGAGACAGCTTGTCTCAAAATAGGATAAAAAGCACTTGGGTTGTGACAAAGGGCTTGCCTAGCATGCTCAAGGCTCTGGGTTCAGTTCCCAGAACTACAACACAGAAAGAAGAAAAAGAAAGAGACAACCTCGCTGCATACAAATGTGAAGAAGCTGACTCCTTTTCTGGGCAGTGGAGAGAGGGGAGAGTTCAGATACTGCCTGCCTGGGGCTTAGAGCCAGCTGTGATCAGTGTTGCTACAGGTAAGTTCTTTGCCCAAGGTACCCAGTGTTTCTAGCTCAACCAGCAGAGGCCAAACCTCCAGTCTTAAAAATACAGTTTCAGTAGTATCTTTCCAAAAGCAAGCTCTTCGCTCAAGAAAGCTGGCTCTTGGAAGAGCCTGCAGAAGCATCAGTGCAGCAGTTTTTTCATTGCTGCACACACACCAGCTGCCTGCCACAGGCCATGTGAAGTGGCAGTCAAAGTGATGCCAAAGGAGTGCAGGGGTCTTATAAGTTTATATGGTTGTATTACAAAACATCACAATGCTCTGGATGGCAAAGCCAATGATAACTCCAAATGTTTGACCCACACCCAAGATTTTGCTGGCCACTGTATTTAATCAGCTAAGAAGTTCTTAATCTCTCTAAAAACTATTCCAATGCTCTCAAGGAAGCTCTTCTTCTATAAAGAAAAAAACCTACAAAAAGAAACCCCCAGCAGCCATATTTACCAGAGCCTCAGTCTGCACTGAGAAGCCCTGAGTGCTCTAACTACACATATTAGGGCTCAACAAATGTCTGAGGAAGCGAACCCCAACCTAAGCCAAGTGTTCAGAGCCTGCATACTGCTCAGAGAATGGGTGCCATACACACTTTTTAAAGGGTCTTTTAAGGGTAAGGAATATGGCTCAGTGGCACAGCGCCTGCCTGGCAAGCACAAGGATATGAGTTCAATCCCTGGTACCAAAATAAAGTAACTAACAAATGAAGCAACACTACTCTTCTGTTAGTGATAGCTCAGTGCACACTACAATTCCCTATAAATGAACTCTGACTTTTCTTTCACTTTATTTTGTGTAATGATTTACGTCTTTTTTCCAGGCCAGAGCCCCTTCTACCCTTAAATCATCTGCTACACTCTACCCGGTTCTTGCTAAGAAAAAAAATTCAGAAAGAAAATCACCACCTCAATTGATTAGGAATTGGTTTTCTAAGGAAATTATCTGAAGTTAGGCTTGGCTTCACCAGTGGAAATGGGATCCGTTGCTTTTTGAGTGAACAAACGTGCAGCAAACCCTCCCAAACACCTACAGTCGTTCACCATCACGATGATCTTTGCTGCTGAGCATATGAAGCAGAGACATGGCACTTTTTCAAAGTTGAGAGGTCCAAGAAAGAAGGGCCATCAGACTCCCCACTGAGTGTGACTTCCCCCATGGGAGCTTCTCTACCTGCAGCAGTGGCACCTGTTCCCTCCCATGCCTAAGCCCTAAAGTTAGTCCTGCTCATCAGTATCATCAGCCCCAGGTATCTCCCTCGCAAAGGACATAGCTTAGGGTCTTACCCGTCCCTCCAAAGCAGGCTGTGATTTTGTGGGCATAGTGGCACAGGCTCCTGTCTGGGCAGAGCTCCTCTGGAAGGCCTGCTTCGTCCATCACTCTGGAGGCAGCTGCCTTCCTTCCCGTAACACCACTCGCCTGAGACCTGCTCAGAATGGAACAGGCAGCCAACCCCCCTCTTCCATATCATCTCCATTAATAATTCAGTTACTACACAAAATCTGCTGAGCATTCAAGATTGAGAGCACCAAGGCACTCTGAGAACTGAAGCATAATTAGTTTAACGGACATCAAGTGTCTCAAATTACCCTCTGACAATATTCTCCATAGGCAAGATTTCCAACTGGCAGCAAGAGACAACTGGAAGAAGCAGCTTGGAACACCTTCAAGGAAGCAACCACTGGCAAGATTAGCTTGGAGTGGGGTCATAGGCAGCCTCTGAGCTGAAAGCCTGAACAATAGAGAAGATTCTCCCAAGAACCTGTTCCATAGCATCAGAACAACAAGCTGCTGCCCATGCCTCACAATCCCCCAGCCTGAGCTCTCCATCAATTGAAAACCTTTTCTATGTCTACAACACATCTGATTTTTCCACCCCTCATTTACAGTGCTTCTCTTTACCTGGAATTCCCCAGTCTCCTTCTTGGAAGCATTCTCCATGTGTATTTAAAAATGTAGCTCAAATGTCACCTTTTCCTTCAAGCCTTCCAGAGTCACTCTGGCTTGAATCAGTTTCTTCCTCCCTTGTCCCCAAATAGCAGCTCTGCCATGCTATGGATCATATCCTGCCTTATAATAAGGCCACCTCAAGACAGAGTTGTTTCTCCTGCCACCTCCGCAGCTTCTGTGGGACAAGAGTCATGCTCTTATCACCGTTTCTCAACCCAGGGCTCTACACATCAATGCCTTATAAATGGAATGTGACAATCCTCCATCGGAAGTCACTGTGAAATAGGAGAAACCAGTACTTGAATCAAAGTGTGTATTATCAAAGATAAACTATACACTGACCATCATTAACTGCTTCCCTGGGAAAGGAAAATATACACATCCTAGACGTGTTGTGTGAGATCTCCCACTGCTGCATACACAGCTACGAGCTCCTGAACAGAGCGTAGCTAAGTGCCACTGAACTGAAAGGCTTTACACGGCAGGCGCCAGCCCAAGAGGCCCCCACCAGCTGTGACTGTAGGAAGCTGTGCTAGTGGCTGGTAATTAGGAGACAGGTTGTCCTTGCTAGTGGGATAAATAGCTGAGTGTAGAACCAGAAATCCCAGCATCAGCACTCTCTGCATGTCCGCTGACAAGGTGCTGACCCAGAGCAGGTGCACAGTGCCTGCCTGCTCTAGCCTCCCCTCCCAAGAGGAAAAATGCAGAGGGAAGGCTTGCAATGGCACAGTTTGGAGTATTTATAATCCATCTCTGTCCACTCTGAAAGGCTCATGTTGACTCTCAGTTTACTAGAAAACGTCCACTAGTCCAGACAATCTCTTTCCTAACTACCCCATGATCATAGCCTCTTGCTCCCTGCTTATTTTCTCAAGATCATTCACCTTTGGA